AATGAGTACGCAGTGAATCCAGTTCGCCCACCTGTAGTCTAAGCACATACATGCAGTCCATCTGCCTGCCTGTTAGCATGCCGAGCACCAACGCGTAAACAGGTAGGTCAACACTGGCTCAAGCGTGATCTGAACGCGGGATGCCGTCAAGCTGGGCCGTCAATGAATAATTCGGTACGGACAGATCAATAGTGACATCTGATGCGCTAAAGTTTGAAGTGAGTCCGCATGACTTGCGTGCTTGCGATGGCAGGCAGCGTCGGCCAGTCAGTCGTTAGCGCTATGTATGGTAAGCGTTTGGTCGACCTCACGTCACAACATCGCCCCATCACTTGTTTCCCTTGGTGTTTGGATCCTAGCTGTGCATATTGCATTCTCCTGCAACATGTTCAAATTTTGGTGCTCGCATGTGATTGCCTCTGACAGCTACCACGTCGGTGTGTTGTATTACGACTAAATACATACAGATATCCATTATTAATTTCCAAATCCCCACCTTCGCTAGTGGAACTAGTGTGCATCTCGCACTTGATCTTGTGGATATCCCATTTGCCAGGAGTAAACAGGGTTTTGTGGTTTTCCAATGGCTTCCTCTCACAGTCAACCATTCTGTCATTCCGTTCAATGAGACCATTGCTTTTTGGCTAAATCATGACCACCAGGAAGTCAAATGGCGTATCGGCATTAACCCAAGTGCTTCATAACTGAATGATGCCTCCCACTTGTTGCTACTGATGTGCAGTGACATTATATCAGTCCCTTGCTTCACTAACGCTATCAGTACTACTAATGCTACTTCCACCACTAACAGTTGTAGTAAAGTAATCAACAACACAATTGTAGGAGACATGAATATGATCCCAGACACTGGGTGACCAATCAACTCACCTTGTTGTAAACAAGACGTGAAAATAAACCAAGCCGACTCGTTGAGATTTAAGATTGCCGTGCCTTCCGGACGTTGCGAATCTGGTGTATAGCGCCAGCTGTACGGTGTCAACAAGTCCATACCCCAAAATATCAGTATGAATATGAGGATGAGGGCAAAAACGCACATCCAGCACTCTCTGTATTGAAATGAATTCGGATACATGGGGGTGGAGAAAACTGAATTTAGAAAAAANAGAAAAAAGTTGAACATTCATATTCTGAATACCTTCGTATATAAATGTACAATACAATAATTCGTAAAGGAATGAATCGACAAAATTTCCTTGCAAACAGCCCATTGTTCGTAATATTGAAAACTTGATGGGCAACACAAAAACGCTAGTTTGTACTTCAATGGTGACCGGTTAAAGTAAGTGGAAAAACCAATTCCCCCTGGCGAGTAAGTGAATCGCTTGTGTCCTTGGTTTGCACAGTATAGTCCGTTCAGCTGTGCTATCATTTTTGAATAGTTTAACTGTAACGTTCCACTTATAGCGCGCCAGTATGTTACATTCGAAAGCAGTGGAAATAATTGTCACGTAAAAGAATATGTTTCCTAACAAATGAACCGTCAATCTCATTGCAAATGGTGGTGTGCGGGGGCTACAGATAACAAAGTAGTGTTATAAAACCACAAGGCGGTGCGCAGTGTAGGATAGTTATTTTTTGTGGATTACAAATGGAATATCACTAATTGGGTATGCATAACACAGAAATCCCATCAAAAACATACCATCGCAGTTGTTGGCCACACACCAGGTAATAAATATACCAATCGATAGTTATTCTTTGAGACCCAGCAACTTACCCTCGGTGATCTTGTTAATTTTTGATCGTCGAAATAAACCACCAACTATGTTACTTACTACTCACAAATGTGAGTAGATCCTCACGACAGTAGTAACTCGAATGTCAGATAAGCTTCATCTTATTTCATCCCC